TGTAAGCCAGAAGAGGAGCGCACCGGAGGAGCTCCGGCACCAGACCTCCAATTCGGGGCATCCGATCGATGTGCCGGGCTGCGACGTCCGACCCCGTTGCTCCCAAACGATCGCGGGTGATTCATCCCTCGCTGCAAACCCTGTGCCGCGCCGCGCACCGATTCAGCCCCAGCGCCCCTGGAAATCAAGCTGCATGCATATCGGAATACCGGGGAGAGCCAAAATCTAGCGCGCCAAGGCCTCAGATTCTAGAGAATGCTGGATCAATGCATCAAGCAAAGGCGCCGCATTTCCAAGCCGCGGAGAGAACTTACGCTGGAACCCCTAGCCCGCTGCTCACACGCTAGCGCGCTCGATCAGAGCTCTCGTACCATCGATCAGCTCAAACCCTAACCCTAAATTGGTGCACTGAGGGAGAGAGTAATGCTCGCGAGGCCGTCCGATGCTCTCAATCTAGCGGCGATTAAATGCGCAAACTCCTCTGTTATAAGCAAAGATCTTGCGCAATGAAGCTTACAATTTTATTGTGTGATCTGCCAAATCTTTACAAATCCAAAGATCTAATTCACAATGAATCCAAAGTGTTAACTACATTGTCTTTTAACCAAATGAAATTGAAAAATAAAAAGGAGAAAAAATAAATCCAACCAAAAAATTGTCCCAGGCAAATTCTTGTCGACGACGTGATCCACGTTTGCAGTCATTAGATAAAATCGAAGAAGAAGAAGAAGATGCCGCTCTTCTCTATAGAATAAAGAGATGAGTAGTATACGTTGTTGGGTGTTGTTACCTGTACAACCAAGTCCTCGATAAAAGATCTTCTCGGAGCGCTCTCTCATCGATCCAAGAACAAATCTGTCAAGAAAATCTTCCCCTGCCGGATCCTTCCCTGTTCCAACTCCTCCGCGACGATCGATCGAGTTTTCGATCGACCATCGCATCGGACACTGACACTCCCTCCTCGGAGCCAACCAAACTACGAAAACTCAAAATGGAAGAAAAAAATTTCTCGCCATACCTTCGTCTATTGCTGCTGCTGCTGCTGCTGCTGCTCGGTTTTCGGCCAGGAAGCATAGAACTCGTCCGTGGAAGAGGACGACGTCGTCTCCACAGGACCGTCCTTCACCAGAGTTTGCACCCACGAGAGATCCGGCTCCGGTCCACCGTGAGTAGCAAACGAGGCCGACTTCCGGAACTTGCCCAAGTCCTGTCCTTGTATCCCCCAGTCTGGCTTTCCAGTGGGAGACCCCCAGTCGGACCACGAAGCCGATGGTAGCGACGATCCAGACACCTCCTTCATACTCCAGCTCCCTCTATCCCGCTGTGCAAACGCGGAGGCTTTGCGTCCCGCTGCCAACACCTCCGCGGCCGTGGAGGTGCTTAGATCAGTCCCGTCTGAACATCTTCGAGCCATGGAGCACGGCGACCCCGCACTGAAGATCGATTGCACCGGGCTCTGGAACTGCGGACTAACGTGACTCTGGAGCTGTGACATCGTTGACAGCGGGGAGAGGAGCTGCTGGAGCTGGAGCTGAGAATGCAGCTGCTGGGAGAGAAGCGAGTGCTCCTGCGGCGTGAGCTGCGACTGGTGCACGGCTGACAAAGGCGACACCTCCGCCGAGAACAAGTCCTGTAAGCTGGTGGAGGGAATGCTCAGACCCAAGTTGCCAAACTTGTGCATGCGGGCACTGGAGCTCAGCAGTGAGCTCTGCCGAGACATCGAAGATAGCTCAGGTGCCAGATGCCCGTCGTAGTCGGCCCCCTCCACCGGGATGTCTCGGGCACTGAGAGCCGCTCTTAGCCGGCTAGCTTGGAGTCCGGCACCTCCGGGAAGATGAAGCGTCGGGACCGTGGGCTGCGACCAGGAACCTCCGCCGGACGGTGACAGTGGAGGAGTACTAAGTCCGCTCCCGGAAGCATTCGATGGAGAGAAAGGTGGCACCATGATAACTGGAGACTGGGACGTTGAAGAGAGTGGCGGGCTGACGGAGCCGGCATCCAGTGGCGACGAGGCTCTCGGCGACGGCACTGCCGATCCCATCGAGACGAACAGCGGTCTCATCTCCTCCGAGGTGTGCGCAAAGAAGCACACTCTCCTGCTGCAGCTGGTACCATCTTTGCAAAGCCGCGTCCTATACTGCGCTGGATGGAGCCAGCACTCAAAAACTCCATGCGCGTACTCGCACGTATCGCCCCGTCGACACGCACCCTTCCGGAAATCTGGGCATGGCACGCAGCTGTAGTGGAACCGTCGCGGATCTCTTCGTCGGGCGTTCTCGCCAGGATGAACAAACGGGCACTCTGTCCAGTCGTGCGAGTAGGCTCTGGAACACGGCCGGACTTTGAAGGAGAACATCCGGAACTCATCCGTGGTGTAGATGCTGTTCTTGATGTCCGGCAGTGACGGGTCGACTGGATAGTCCTTCGTCTTCTCATCACTTGGATTCTCCGCAGACTTGGGTGACGAAGGGAACTGGGGCGAGAAAACTGGAGAGTACGAGTCCGGAGACGAGCAAACCGAAGACATGGACGACATTGAAACGAAACCTTCTCTCGTATCTGCGAAGGAGTCGTCGTCCAGCTTTGATGAGGAGAAAGCGCCACCCCCGTTACTCTGATGAGCTCCCTTGCAATCGGTATCAAGGCTGTGCCTCGCCGTACCAGTTGCGGACAGCATCTTCTCCAATTCAGACTTCGTAGACCGCAGCTTGAGTGGCACCGCTATCACCTGTGCTGGCCGACGACCGTATGCATCCATCAAGCTACTGTTGGCACCACCCGAGAGCAACAGCTTCACAGCATCTACACCACGAGAAGAACCACCAGCGGCAGCACAGTGAAGAGCAGTGACTTCGTCCTCGCCACAGAACTTATTGACATCAACCTTGCCTGACTTGAGAATGTAGCTCAGAACGTCGATGCTCCCATACAAGGCCGCAATCATCAACGGGCTCCTCTTCTCGGTGGCCATCTTGGTGCTCCCAATTTTCCTCAAGTACCAGCTATCGGGCTCGTCTAAATCCATACCCCCCTCCTCCACAACCCTCCTGAAAGTTTCCAGATCATTGTTGGCAGCTAGCTCGAGTAGCGATGGAGTGGTCTCGCGTTCCTTGCAGCCCTTGTCCATGTCTGACCACAATAAGGGCGGCTTGAGAAGAGCTTCTGGGTGCTGCGACAGTGGCGAGCGGCCTAGGACGTCGTCAGCTAGCATCATTCTGTAATTCTTTGCGACCGGCTTCGAGTGCTCAGGGCCCCCACACATCCTCTTTTTTTTTTCTTTCCTGTCAACGATGGCCACTAAGAAGAAAATGCGGTAAAAGAAGGGCCATACCTCGATCGACAGCAGTGGTATTCACAGCAATCGCGACGTCTCCACCGTCATAGACTCATCGCCGCCACTCGACAGCTGCAAAGATCACGAATACCGCAATTCCACGAATTGAGAATCCCGATCGTGTCGTACAGATGAGCAAGAGGCAAGGGAAAGGGATTTTCGTGCAGGCAATCTCTAGCGAGGAAAATGAGAGCGGAGCAAGCATCGCCGGGCGCTACATTCTCTCTGGATTCGTGGCAAGAGACTCTAGCTCACCAGAATGCCCCGCGCATCGATCAGCCGATGTCGATGCCGACTGCCGCGCGCCAGCGCCAGCGCTTAGATCACGGATGGAGCACCACCACCACCACGCCTCGACCAAAGAAAAAAAACCTAACAATGCCCCCCAGCAACAGCCTTGGAGGAATAAAACGAGAGAGAGACGGAAAACTATGAAACACTCGGCCATAGCCGATCCGACGGCTATCTTGCCCGGCGGTAATCTACCGGGTAGCCATCCAACGGCGAGGATACTAAGGTACTATAATAAGCTCAAGATGTGTGCGCGCGTGGCATTTGGCAAGGCCGTCCAGACGGCCGCCCGCCCATGCAAGCTCCAGTCGCATCTGCCCTTCACTGCCCGTCACTCTCAGCCGGATTGCACACAACCCCTCACGTCCGCCATTCCCATTCAATTTAACTGTTCATCTAATGGCGACGGCTTCCGTTAAAACGTTAAGCGCGCCCATCTCTAGCCGTCCGTGGGGTCCATCCGACCGCCCGCAACCTCCCCCCCATCGCGCTCGTAAAATCAACAAGATTATTTCCATATGACGTAAGTATGTCGCTATTTACACTGGCACAGTACAGTACGCGATGGTGACTGTGGTCAATAACTCGCAAGTAAAATGCAATGGTGTTCTCGTGTCCGGAAAGTACTGGTTTAACGTCCGTACGTGGGGTTTTGGATCTCCCATCGCAGACCGTCGGATAAGAATATACTAAGACCGATGGAGGTATAAATATTTTGATGCTAGGGTTAAGAGCTTTTTTCTGGTTCTTCTGTTAGGGTTCGCGAGGGCGAGGGCGAGGGCGAGGGCGAGGCGCGATGGCGGCAGCGACGGCCGATCAGCTCACGGAGCTGTTCAAGACGGCCCAATCGGCCGCGCAAAAGGCAACGGCGGTCGAGGGAGCTGAGGAAGATCGGTGCGTCGAAGCGCTGCAAGCGATGCGTTCTCTGCGAGTGACGACCTCGCTCCTCATGTCGACACAGGTACGTTGCCCTCCTCCCTCTCCGCGAGAATTCTAATCGAAATCTCCGCCATTTCCAGGTGGGGAAGCAGCTCCGGAAGCTCACGAAGCATTCCCGGCCCAAAATCCGGTCGATTGCTGTCGATATTCTTGAGGATTGGAAGAAGGTAGTGTCTTCCGAGGCGAGCTCCAAGAGCAAGGCGGAGGGCCCGAAATCGTCCGCGAATGCGTCCGTGGAAAAGGGCAAGGTGTCCTCCAAGCAAAGCAATGGAAACTCCAGCAGCAAGGCCAGGCCTTTACCGAAATCCAACGACGCTACCAGGGACAAGATGAGAGAAGTGCTACTCGAGGCCTTCCAAAAGGTCCCCCAGGAAGCCGAGGGCCAGGAACTTGCTCGAGCAAACGCCAAGGATCCAGTCCAGGTAGCAGTGGAGGTGGAGAATGCACTCTTCTCCAAGCTCGAGTCTACCAAAGTTGACAAGAAGGCAAAGTATCGCTCCATCGTCTTCAACCTCAAGGATCCAAACAATCCCGACTTGAGAAGAAGGTTGCTGCTCGGGCAGATCTCCGGCTCACAGCTCACGACCATGAGCGCCGAGGACATGGCCAGCGATCAGAGAAAAGCGGAGAACAAGCAGATCAAAGACAAAGCTCTCTTCGAGTGCGAGCGGGGCATGAAACAGGAGGCGACCACGGATCAATTCAAGTGTGGGAAGTGCGGCCGCCGGGAATGCACGTACTTTCAGAAGCAAACGAGGAGCGCCGACGAGCCCATGACCACTTACGTTACCTGCGTCAACTGTAACAATCGCTGGAAGTTCTGCTGAGCGCGGCGCGAGAAAAATCTTCTTTTTTCATCCGGTTCTATCGGTGAGGGGACGAAAAGCTCAAGAACACGAAGGGACGAAGAACAGGGTGTGACAACGTAACTTATCATCTCCGTAGGTACACAGCAGTTCGTAGCGTTGTTTCTTCTCTCTCTCTCTCTCTCTCCTTTCTCTCGTCTTCCTTTCTCTTTTTCCTTCGTTTCTTCGTGCTCGCAGTTAAATCTATTTTTTGTTTCAGTGCCACCATCGTTGAAACGCTTGCTTCTTCCAGTCCCTTCACTCGACAGTCGAGAGATCGGGACACAAGAAAGAATTCTTTCGTGTAAGCATCTCTTTGTTTTTTTTTTTTTCCTTTGTATAATTTTGTTCGTTGTCGATTGATCTTCGTGATCGATTGATCGAGCGATGGAAGAAAGGAAAAAGAAAAAGAAAAAAGAATAGAGAAGTTCTCGCACAAGTTGCTTGGTCTCTGGGAAATATTGTCCTTTCGTTCTCGATGCCACACGGTGATTTCCTCTCCACTTTCGTGTGTTGAAGAGTTCCGGGGGTTAAGCGGACGGCTGCGATCTCCCGGGCGCAATCAACGGCCGCGATGTCCTGGTTCTACCCACCGGACATGGGCTTAGTACTCAAATCCAGCTGTTCGCTAGACGGGCGCTTCACACAAGAGGAGGCGCTGGCTATGGCGATGGCGATGGCGATGGCGGGAAGGCGCTCCCAATGCCCTATCGTAATCTTCTGGTGGCGCTGAGCGATCTTGGAGGCGCCGGTCGAGTCTTCCGCGGCGAGCAGGGATTTCGAGGTATTTTGTCGCTGTTGGAGAGGCGCTGCCACTCTCTCAATCATCTTGTTGTGGCGAGCGAGCCCGCGATTCTGGAGGCGCCAGTCGTGTTTTGATCTGGGAAGCAAGGTATTTTGCATCGATCCAGCATTCTCAGATCCCGATCTCCGCGGCCCTGGAATCTTGACAAGGCGTGCTCGTTCAATGCAGCTATGGACGCGTTGAGGAAGCAAGCGACGAAGTTCCGGGAACAAGTAGCGAAGCAACAACAGGTACTTGCTTCGACCTCTTTCCTTTTTTTTCCCCTCTTTCTCTCTCCAATGATTCTTTCTTCCATCCAGGCGGTGCTCAAGCAATTTTCGAATCACGGGCCACAGGGAGCCGATGTGATCATCACCGATGAAGCCGAGCTCCACAGGCATCAGCAGCTGGAGAAGCTCTTTGTATCCACGCGCGCTGGAAAGGTACAAATTTTTGTCCCAACATATTTGAAGATTGTGATGAGCTCGTGTGATGTTTCCAGCACTATCAACGTGACATCATACGAGGTGTGGAGGGTTTTATAGCCACGGGCACAAAGCAGCTAGAACTTTGTAAGTTGGTGGCTCGTTCATTCTTGCCTCGGTTTCTAACTTCAGAGTTTTTCTTTAGCAACTAAACTTGCCGAAGATTGCCGAAGGTACTCCGTTGAGAGTACCAAAGCGGATGGTGCTCTTGCGAAGGCTTCTTTGCACTATGCCGATGCAAGGTTCAACATGGAAAAGGAAAGAGACGGCCTGCATCGAGCTCTTAGCACTCAGGTATGTCCCAAGGAGTTTTAGACACTGAAAGCAAGCTATCTTATTGTAGGTTGGTGAGCCTCTGAGAGCAATGGTGATGGGTGCTCCACTCGAAGATGCACGCCATCTGACACAGCGATACGATCGCCTTCGGCAGGAAGCCGAAGTACAGGTTAGTTTGGCCTCACTTTCTTGCTTTGTGTTTACATGGGGGAATGACAGGGGGAAGATGTTCGGAAGAGGCAGGCAAGGTCCCGAGAAGGCGGTGGAAATGCCGAGAACGCCGTGAAGCTACAAATGGCAGAAGCAAGAATGCAAGAGCTGACCTCGGCGATGGCCGTTTTGGGAAAGGAGGCTGCGGCTGCAATGACAGCAGTAGAAGCGCAACAACAGCGTCTAACACTGCAGCGCTTGATCTCTATGGTAAGTGTCACTTCACTACATCTTTACTTGATGATACTAGTTTTGTTGCATGCACAGATTGAAGCAGAACGCAACTATCACATACGCCTGGCGGAGATACTTGATCAGCTTTACGCACAGGTTTTTATACAGTATCTTACCAGGACAGCAGACTAATTCTGTGAGAACTTTCGAAATTGTTACAGATGGTTTTGGAGCGTCAACGTAGCGAAGCACTGCCGCTCACAGCGGACAACTATACTCCTTCGTACGATGATAACAAGCCAAACGGAACCTTTTCGAGCAGCGGCATTGGAAACGCATTGGAAAAATCCATGTATTTCCTGGCCGAGGTGTTGCATCCCTTTGACGCGGAAGGAGAGAACGAACTAACGCTCAACCTGGGAGACTACGTTGTTGTCCGGCAGGTGGGTGACGAGCCAAAGTCATTGAATGAATGAACGTTTTTCTTTGGCAGGTTTCTACCACTGGCTGGTCAGAAGGAGAATGTAAAGGCAAAGCGGGATGGTTTCCATCTACGTATGTGGAGCGCAGGCAGCGTGTTCCTGCTAGCAAAGTTACAGAAACTGGCTCCATGTAAAAGTAAGGTACTTTCAATAAAGCATTTTCTTTTTGTGTCAACGGAGGCCAGTTTATCGACTCTTTCTTTTGGTGCGGAGCTGGGCCATTCGGAGGTTTGTTTCCTCATTCTTTTTCTTTTTTTAATCTGCACCGTGAAACTTCTTGCAGGAGGGAGCCAGCTGACAAATAGAAACAAGGAGTAAAGCCATTTCTACGAACATCCATTCGTACCTCGCAAGCCCGGAGATGATCGTCATCGTGTGTGGAAGGACCTTGTCACTCTTCGCGCCTGAGCATCAAAAGCATATCAGACACCAAACACAAATCAGTCTACCTTGAAGGTCAGCATAAACTTCCTTTCGATGTCCTCTCTCCGGCAAAACTGATGGTCGCTTAAAACAGACATGGGAATCCATATAGAGACATGGCATTGCGAGAGCTTTGGAACACTTCTCGCTCGGCTTCTTCGGCGCTGGCATCCCGTGCTGCTTTGTCCGCATTTAACCAGTAAGGTGGCTCTATACGAATTGGTGCAGTCGAACAGACCTGGAGAAAAATCGAGAGTGTGGAACAAGTCTGGCAGGAAACGAACTAGCACCAAACCTGGGGGCACTGCTCCGAGGGAACCCAGAGATCTGACATCTTGGGCTTCTTGAAATTCAAAGACGATACACGCTCCCTTCTGTGTTTCCTTGGAACTCTCGGATGGCTACTTCCAGGAGAGACAAGTTCTCACTACATGCAAAGCAGAGGTAACTTCGTACCTCGGAGATGAACCATCTGATATCTTGCACAGGTCCTTGTACCTCTCGGCGAGCTCTGCATCGGAACAATGCCCGTGATCGTGATCGTGGTGGTGTTGGTGCTGGTGGAGCTGCTGCTGCTGCTGCTGCTCGAGCACGGCTCTCGGATCAAACTTCTCCCGCTTGGCTTCCTCCAGCCTCTCCATCAAACGGGCCGTGGAGTTGAGTGACGGGGTGGCAAGGTCCAGCTCTGGAGGACTTGGAACAGATCTGCCGTGGCTGTGGCTGTGGTCATGGCTGCGGTCATGGCTGCGATGGCTCTGACAACTATGCGGCCTTGGCAAAACCGACGAGCACTTCGGAGCCCAGCCACCTTTAAATTCCGGATTCAATCTACTGGAGCGCAGCGGGCGCTCCCGGCGTGGCTGCGGAGCTTGTTGCTTGCTCGCCTTGGACAAAGTCACAACGGGCAGGACGGTAAAGCGGGCCTTGGCCGCGGCGTTGTTCATGGCAGCGGCTCGGTTGAGAAACTCCGACTTGGCTGGGCCGAGGCCGAACCGCATAGGTGGCTTTCTTCCCGGGGGCCCGGTTAGCAGCGTCGTCGTCGGCAGCCTCTTGCGAACCGGCCCCTCGACGTGGAGCTCCCTCTCTACGCCGGCTTGGATGGAAAGGTGGCTCTTGTCCTTTCGACCGCAGCAGCTACAGTCCATGATCCGGTGCTCGGAGCACGCACCGTCGGAGCTCTTGTCGGTGGCAGTGTCCGGGGAGGCGGAGGCAGCGGCGGCGTTCTTCATGTGCTTGGAGGAGCACTGGTCGCGCGGCATTGCTTGAGTAGCGCTGCGAGGAGTTGGGGTGGCGGACCGGATGTTTGGAGGTCCCGGCATGGCGGAAGGAGACTCTATCTTCTTTGGAGAAGTAGCGGCGGCGGGGACGACCTTGGGGGATTTCTTGGGCGAGGAGGACGTCGCGGCTCGAGGGAGTAGCGGCGAGCTGGTTGAAGATGGCGACGAGGTGGCGCTGGTGATCCTGGCGAGCGGTGGGACGGCGGGACTGGAGGAGGAATTGGATTTGAAGTGGCTGGAAAAGTCGGCCTTCCATCCCCCGCCGCTGCTACACACCGAGACCGCCGAGTCATTGCCGCCATCGCCTCCGCCTTGGCTCTCGTGTTCTTCCTCCTCCCGCGAGAAAAGATTGGCGAGAGCCACCTCGTCTGGATCGTTGGCGGCCTTCCATATCCATCCGGGTTCCTTGCTGCCATCGCATTCTTCTCCTCCAGCGGCGGCATTTCTTGGGGAAGAAGATGGCGATGGCGAGGAGGAAGGGCAGCAAATGGGGAGGAAGCGCGAACACACCTTGCCCGGAGAATCCTCGCAAGCGAAGAGCTCGTGCCTGTGATCGCCCCACGACACGCGCCGGATCGCGGCGGGGAGGATCGCTCCCGCCTCCTCGCAAGCCCTAATCCTCTGCACGCCCAGCAATTGACCTAATCGCGGCAGCGAGCTCTCCACGCTCCCCGGCTGGGGGAGAGATCCATCGCTGAACGCGCCGAGCTCTTCCCTCTCCCACATTGCCAGTGGAGCTGCGAGCCGCGTGGGAGATTCCGGTGGCGGCGATGGAGCTAGTGGCAACAGCAGCGGCGATGGCGGCGGCGATGGGAAGCGCGTGCGCAGCCTTGTGAGTGGGCGGGGCAGGAGCTCCTCCGACGAGGAGCAAGGCCGCTCCTCCATCGCCGCCCTTCTTCCCTCGCAAAATTTCTTTTAATTTCTTGTCACTAGGTCAGGAATGGCCGTTAAGGTTCCACAGGTCGCGGGCTCGAATCCCGAGGGCGTGACCGACAAAAGAGCGAACCAAGAACACAGGAGAAAGAACGAATGCGTGAATTCATTCTCTCGTCTCTTTTGTTTGCGGGGCGTTCAAGTGGATGTAGATCAAAAGAGCCTCTACACCAAAGCGATTCCCGCAATGCCTGACGCGATCGATTTTGCCCCTTTCTTTCCCTTCCCATGAATCCGCAGCGCAGCAATTCATCCTTGGCTGGCCGCGGCATTGCTGAGGGGCAACTCTAGGATCTACCAAGACCCTCTACGCGAGAAGAAAGATCTAGAGACGACTGAAAGCAAGACTCGCAAGAACAGGGCGGCGCAATGAAGCAAACAAGACGACAACCCAATCTTCTAGTTTTAAAAGCCCTGGGGGTCAGGTTGAAAGCCCAGAGGAGACTGAATTTTTGGGGAGTCATTTTTTACTCCTGCATGCACATACGGTAAAGTAATGATAGAGTAATGATCGAATATTTTGTACATGGTGATGGATACTATACTTTGCTCATTGTTTTAGACTAATTGTCAATGCACAAGAGTTTTACTGTTTTTGTTTTACGTGTTTTCCTTTGACGCCAAGCTAGAAGCGTAAGATTCGAACCCAGGACCTCAGGGTGCCTTGTCTCTCTAGGTTACGTACTACGACTTGCTTTGCTCCTTATAAACGTGTAAGAAGAACAACTACTTTCTTTGTCGGTGGTGCTCTTGATGATCCTCGAATTAACAAATGTTTCCTCGAATCCAAGAGCCTTTCTCAAGAACAGTGCAAGATGCATGGGAGGATCCTGCCTCCCAGGCCCGCGAATCACCCGATGGAGTGAGGAACCTCCCTGGTGTAAACATCAAAACTCAGTGGTGACAATGCACTTATAATGACCTTGTTGAACAATTAAGTATCATAGTCATGAACGAATTTGGAGAATTTGAAATCATCGCTGGCATTCTCATTCCTAGGAGCTCCACCTGACAAGAACCGAGCACTGTGGTCCGAGATGAGGCAACTGGCTGCGCCACTACCGCTGCGAAGCAATGCTGGATCTGCTGCTCAAACCAGGCGGAGGCGGCGGCGGCGCTGCGGCCCAGCCGACGGGAAGAAGGTGGCGCAGTGCTTTTTGGAGGCGAGCGCCAGCAAGCATGTCACAGCGGCGGCCATAGCAGTCAGAGCTGCGCCGCCCTTGCCGCCGGCTCCATGGTCCACAAGGAGCGCCACCCATTGGATTCGGCTCCTCACCCATGGTAGTGGAGCTGTGGCTGGGCACGGAGGGCTCTGCTGTGACAATGCTGGAGGAAATAGCTTAGCGCCACTTGGGATGCATAAGCGATGAGAATCAGCAAACGAACAAAGTCAACGTACATAAACCCAAAACATGGGCCGCAGCTTCAAGCCGATACTGGCTGTACTTTACGGATGATGCCAATGGAGCTTTAGTAAAGAAAACATGAAGAATACGAAGATGAAAGAGTGAGAGTAAATATGCGATGAGAATGAACTACTCAGTATTTTTCCTTTACGTTAGACTGGGTGAAGAACTTTAATTTTTGTGAACTTGAATTTTCCAAGCGTGGGACTAGTTGCAGGAGCAGGCGTGGGAATATAATTCTCGAGGTTTGCAGTTTCCCCCTGTTCGATCACCGAGATGGAGTTTAAGTTGAAATCAGGCAAGTCGCTGGGTCACCACCCTATGACAGGTAACCATTCTTGTAGTATTTTCGTGCAGGTTCAAGAACGTGAACATGCAGACTGACGCAATCAAGCTCGTGCATCAAATTGACAAGAGCGGGGCACGGAGAGAATCTCGTGCTGTGCCGTTTCACGAAGACAAGGAGTCGCACAGGGACGAGTGATCTTTTGGTTGTCACCGAGTATGGCGACCGCAGAGTCGGCTAGAGAAAGAGGTCTACGTTTTTAAGGGTGCTCCGCGTGGTCGATTGCCAGACTTCAGCCGAGGCTCGGGATATTTTACAAGCTGCCATGCGTGCTATACCTGAGGACAAGCGTGCGCGCAAGGAGGAGTGATGTCCTGTTTACCTCATGGTGTGGTCGGGCGTCTCCTGATACCATGGGATTCTAGAGATTGACGGATTTGTGTACGTGAGTATGGGAGCACTCCCTTCAGATTGTGCCAAAACTACCATCTTCTTGCTTGCTTTTGGAACTAAGATGGATGCTCTAGAGAAAACTCAACCTTGCTTGGGTTGGGAAGAACGTCGCTCGCTCCGGAGTGGAATGAAATGCAAAGCTTTGATCCTCATGCTCGATTTCATGGGAGCTCTGGTTACTGGAATTTACCGTCCGCTACGAGCATTTTCCCGAGACTAAAGAGCATGGACGAATCAAGCGTTTGCTTATTCGCTTTCCTCTGTGTAGAGACTGGTGGATCAAGGGGACGATGTCCTCCATGAAGAGTAAGTATGCGAGCATTCCTCTGACCCGAGTATCTTGCACTTTCAGGAGAGTTCGTCCTGTTCTAAGGGACAAATGCCCGACTCTGGAGGATTTGAAGCAGCTCAAGTTCACAAAACGGGTAAGTGCTTTCAAAACAAGCAAAAAAATTCCTTTTTATCTTGAAGCCTCCAGTGTTGATAAGAAGATCACTCCCCCACTCAAAAGGTTTTGCCCTCTGTTGTTTTAGCAATCCATACTTCTGAATCTAGGTAGTTAAAAAGAGAATTTTTCCATAGCTACATAGCTACAAGAAGCATATAGACAAGGGAACTATCCCCCAAGAATTTCTAGATCTGAGAACACACATATTAATCTATGAACAACTCCAAAAACAAGTCACAAGAATGCGATGGAGCACGCATTTGCGCGATCAAGCAGAAAAGATACCTCTTCCCCTAGCAATCCCTTGTGTCGGTCCCACTGCCTCTTGCTCCGGCAAACAATGAAACAGTAAGGGAGAGAACACTTACATCGTGCACTGATTTTCCATATTCTGGTTCTCACAATGGAAGCAAAGGGGATGGGGGTTCATACATAGCTAGCTATCCTATTATGAACTTTGTTCGTTCACAAAGAACGATGTCCTCGTCTCGTCTTGTTGCTGATCCCTTTGTGCTTACAGCTGCCCCGCTGCAACAATCAATGAACTAGGCTGGGTGGCTCTCTGTGAGTGCTAAAGCTAAGGCCTGTTGTGACAATGCAGGTATGATAGCAGTTGAAAGATGTTCAACGCATTGACTGGATGTGAAAGCACGCTTTCTTTGCGATGCTCTTACCACAAAAGTCCATCCAGTCCAACAAAGCTGCCGGCTTGATCACAAAATCCCGCCATACAGTTGTAAGAGAGGTTTTGCAAATTCGCACTTGACTCGCAGATTGAGAAACTCGTTAGGAGCTCAGCCGTAGCCAGTCGATGTTTCAGGGAAAGGTACAAATCTGACCTTTGTTCTTTTCCTTTTTCGAATACATGGCGCTGTTGAAGAACAGATCATCGCTGAAAGGTTTGATCGGCTCCCTCAGGCCGGTATACATCGAAGAGGTGCGCTACTACTTCTATCCGCCTATCAACGACCACACCCTCTTTGCCTTTGTGTCAATCCTCTACCTGGCAAGCCTGCCCCCTGAAGATCAAAAAATCCCTTCCGCCGGTTTCTCAGGTCGGTTGTGGGGAGCGCTTTTGTGGGAGGAAAGGCGTGCGCGTCGTCGAGGATGCTGTTCGTCGACCGGGCATTCTCGACATGGCGGTGCGCCCCCTCAAGCCTCTACGTCCCCCACCGGATCTCGCCTTTGGTAATATCATGGATTGCTTCTTTGTTTTTCCAGGACGGCGGGAAGGATGCAGCGCGCTGCATGGTAAGTTTTGACCCGAGTGCCATGCTAACGCGTCCATCTGTTACTAACAGGGAAGGCTCAAAACTCCACCGGATTTGGTGTTCCCAACATCTTGGACCTTGTCTGCAGGCTGCTGGAGGGTGACTACTTGTTCTATTTGCCAGTGAAGAACCTGGGATGGAACTTGCGGGCTGCCGTTACCCCTACAACAAACATGGTAGAGGAGTACTCAACACTCAAAGGTGACAGGAACGCCTTGTGTGGAGGGTCACCAGTGTTCCCGGCCGAGGAATTTCCAGTAAGGCTGCCGTTGTGCGGGATCCGGTCCAACCGGCTCCTGAGCTCGCTGGTGCTGCACCGCCCGCCAAACTCAGCACTCCCACACTACTACACGATTGTCAATGCCAGCGCTCACGCGCGTCTCTGGCTCGGCCGCTACGACCTCCGGGTCTACTACGACCACAGCTTGACATGTAAGTTAACATGCGCTCGCTTCTCGCTGGTTATAACTTGCTTCCCGATCGTTTCTAGACGGCGAGATGTGTACCCCTGGAGCTGCTTTGGCCGAGGAGGAGGTAGGCTTTTATACTCCTCCACATTCCAGCTATGGAAACACTGTACTTATATTCAAGCCCTGAGCGATGGTTTCATGGTGGAGCGCCGGCAGTCGTTAGTGGAGGTTAAACTGCGGCACTCTACATTAGGCCTGGCGTCGTACGTACGTACGTACGTCAGGTGTTGTCATATAGAGTTTCTTGCGTTGCCTGGGGGGGGGGGCGAACCCGGCAAGCTACACCACATGCATCCCGAGGATTACGAGCCACTGCCGGAAGCAGCTGTGGCGCAGGATGAGAAGCTGTGGAAGGCGCTCCAGCAGCTGCGGTATCCAGCGGTTGCTAACCCATCGTATTCACTGCTGCTTGCCCAGTGCTGTGTGTTTAATGTGTGCGCTATTCTACTGCCGCTGGAGCCCAAGGCCAAGCTCAAGTATCTGTTCAAGCATGGCGTGCCTGAGCTCTATGAAAATCTGGAGGATGACGACACCCTTGACAAGCTGTCAAGGGCGATCATCAACGAGGCATAAGAAGCTTATGAACCGAGCCACAGGCAAGACATAAGACATAGTTGTGTTTGTGTCGTTCGAATTGAATCAATACATGTATGAAAAGCGTCATTCGAATGGACTCCGAAACGTTATCTTTCAAGAGTTGGAGCACAATGGCCTTTAAACCATCGAGGAAGCTAAATCCCACAGCGTTGAGAGAGATGAAGCAGCTTTCCTCATACAACCATGAGTGTCAATCCAGCTCTTGGTTCGTTGCTTCGTCACGAACTTCACGCCCCGCATTCTCTAAAGCACTGGATTCTCACAGCCTCTGCATCTTGCACTGGAATGGCGTCCAACTCACACAAATATGATCATGACATTTGCAAAAAAAATCTGAATTTAGCAAAACGTAAATAAATTATAATCCAATCGTATATTACAATCTGGAGCTGGTTCATCGTAGGTGAAGTCGATGTTTTTTCTTGGTCTCTTGTTCTTTCTATAACATTTTGGAGAAAAAAACTCTATTCCTGATTTTGTAATTTCACATATTGTTTTTACTCAAAACTCATGGCATAAAGTTTAGAGGTACGTGATAAGGTGGCTAGGTGGTGTGGAAGATGTGCAATGTGCAAGTGGATATGGAGGATGACAACAAATGTATTATATAAGCTAGTGCTTGAGAATTTGTGAGGCAAGCTTTTTTAGGTCACTAAGCAAGCCTAAAAAGAAAACTAAGGGCCATGCCTTAATGAGAAAAACTTACTTGTGTTGAGCGTGATGTTGATGACCTCCCTCCTGGGCCCAAACATCTGCGTGACTCTCCGCTGGTCCACTTGCTTCCCGATAAGCCAAAGAAGCCACATCAGCAGTTCGATCAATCGGGAAGGCATCCCCTAGCATCTTTGGCTAAAGAAAATGTTCTACATATTATTGGTAGTGCCAATTTTGAATGGTCATTGATGATGCTGGGAAAAATTCGTGCAAGCTTAAGTGTCACACCAGGGATGGAGAAGAGGGTAGGAGGCAGTACTTTGCTTTGACAAGCAACCAGTGCCACACATTGCCAGCCCATGGGCTTGGCATTGATCGTTGACCCATCCAGTTTGTATATACTTATAAATGCTTTGTTGATCTTGAACAAAAATCTCATTCTAGGAAAGCAGGTTATTTAAAGCATGATGTGGCGAGGAATTCCATTTTATATACTCTTTAGTGTTGAAAATGTTAACTGCAATTTTAAAAATTCTTGTGTTTTGAAGTACAAATTTTATAACTTCTCATTTGGGATTTACTTTTATTACACAGCCGGAAGTGTCTTGTAGCAATTGCAAGTACTGTATCTAAAGCAGCTTTTGCTGCCAGAATCTTGCGAGTCACAGCTTGACTGCCTTTTAGGCAGGCTTTTAAATATGCTCATGGACGCATACCAGATCACAGTGGGCTGATGTTTCTATCTTGTTGTGTATGATTGCAGCGCTCGAGCAAAGCAGTTTCATTTTTTGCATCATCCCCTCGTACATGTACGCACACATACTTTCGGGAGAGGCGGCTAACCAGGCCAACTTGGCCTTGATGCAAAGCGCCCAGACTCAGAGCTCGTCCACCCGGCGCTCACAGCCCTCAGTGTGACTGTCCGAGAGGCCGTTGTTCCTAATGCTGCCATCAACACGGAGTTGGTAGCAAATGTTCCTGTCACCGGTGTGATTCGTCCATTGCCTACTGCTCCAGAGGTTGCTTCCGCCAATGCCGTCACCATTGGAGAGGTGAGAAAGTTCATAGTTTCCTCGGTTTTCTTGCTTAAAGTTGCTTGAGCAGGCGTTAGAGGCCGCAGGGCTGGGAGCAATCGACCAGCCGATTGAGCTCCAGTGGGTGGCGCTCCTTGTGGACCATGCTATGGCCGCTGCTGTGACGTGCCTGCTGGCGTTCGCCTCCAAAAAGCACTGCGCCACCTTCTTCCCGTCGGCTGGGCGCAGCGCCGCCCCTGGTTTGAGCGGCAGATCCTGCCAGCAAGCAGCAGTTGCCAAGCACGCCTGAAAACACAAAACTCCTGAGATTTCCGCAAAACCCTAGGGTCCAGCCCTAAATTTCTAACTTTGGCTGTTCCCATGTCGGCGCACGGCAAGCGCAGGAAGAAGAAGCCTGCGAACGGCGCTGCCGACGTGGGGGCGATAGATTTCAGGGATATGGTGGAAGCGAGTTGTGGCAAGGATGTGTTGGAGAAAATGGAGCAGCAAAAGAAGCGTAGATTAGGCGAGCAGGACCTCCTTGATTTCGTGAAGTACCTTGAGGCTGGAGTACAGAGCAAATCCGAGGAACGCACCAAGCGGCTCTTTGCAGTTTCCCCCTGTTCGATCACCGAGATGGAGTTTAAGTTGAGGTTTGGACTAATCAGGCAATTCGCCGGGTCACCACCCTACGACAGGTAAGCATTCTCGGTTTTTGGTCGGGATCTGTAGTATTTTCGTGCAGTTTCAGGAACAAGAACATGAACATGCAGCCTGACGCAATCAAGCTCGTGGCAGCCTTGCATCAAATGGAAGTTTTGAACTCTTTCAAGGCAAAAGGGGATCCCAGAGCGGACAGGGGCACGGAGGATCTCGTGCTGTGCCGTTTCCGATACTTCACGAAGCCAAGGAGTCGCACAGGGACGAGTGATCTTTTGGTTGTCACCGATTATGGCGACCGCGATAGACCGGCTAGAGAAAGAGGTGATTTCAAGGTCTACGTTTTTAAGGATGGGAGTCAAGTGCTCCGCATGGTGGTCGATTGCAAGACTTCACCCCAGGCTCGGGATATTTTACAAGCTGCCATGCATGCTATAGCTGAGGACAAGTGTGAACTCAAGGAGGAGCGATGCCCTGTTTACCTCATGCTGTGGTCGGGTGACGGCTGGTACCATGGGATTCTAGAGATTGACGGATTTGTGTACGTGAGTAATGGAGCTCTTGTAGAGCCCTCCCTTAGGCGTAAGTGGGATTGTGATAAAACTACCATCGTCTTGCTTGCTTTTGCTCTTGCTTGGAACAGGTTTTCCGGATGCTATCCCCGCCGAACAGATGGATCCAAATGGTGATTTTCTCGCCAACTCCACGCCTAGTGCCACAAAAGCACAGATTCGAAACCGGTTTGCTACGTGGAAGGTCGATATGGACGACCGAAAGCTCAATATCCCCGATGGCTATCATCCGGTGGGAAAGCTCTTCAGGATCTGGGAGGTTTGTTTTTCAATCTGTTGTTGCGAGCGATTCGCTACACTGGTGTGCTTTGTGCAGGCCCATGATTTCCCCATGTTTGTAGATGATGCAAGCCTGACCGAAGGGAGTCGTCTCTTTTACGAAGGCTTCCTCAAGATCCTCGTCGGCCAAGAGGTTGCTTCTTGGGACCGTGACAAGGTCATCTCGACTGTTCTCAGTTTCGATTTTTCTTTAACGTGATGTGTGGTGTGCTACAGGTCCGGAGCAGATGGCGCGAGAGGTATTTGGAGAAGGCAGAGCTCAAAGTTGCACATAAGCTTTGTGCTCGGGATGATTTGGTAACCCTTTGGTCGGAGCTGGCGGAGCAGATGGCTGCGAGCGAGGAACCACTCAGTGATGACGGCGCCTTCGAGTAAACATCAACAATCCACATGCTTGATACTGATACTGGTTTTTGCCTTGCCAATGGTTTGCTGTAGCGATTAGAAAGGGAATGGACCAAAATGGGTCGTCCATGAGATCCGAACTCGGAGTGGGAGAATCTGAGTCTTAAATATGACTTTATAAGGTGAAAACTATAAAGCAAAACCAGTATTATCAGAAGTATCATTTTATTATTTAGAGATCATTCCGTCATCGTTTGATTTCTCGCTCAGTTATCGTCCCGAACATAAAGCTCTTGCACAATCTTCAATACTTACCTGGAACAGAGACGACTTGCAACCGCGCAGCAAGAATCATTCCCATTACCTCACAATTGTTGATGATCAAGGACAACAGAAAAATTGTCAAAATCTTTAAGCTTTCGCATTTTAACTGAAGCACACTCCAAGATACCTTGGTAAACGATCGTGCTTGTGCACTACAATTTTCTTTGCAAGCATTTAAAGATTGTTAACAGCAAGCATTTACAAAACCAGAAGAATCGTCTCCAAAATCCCGGACTGGCAAACTTAGTAGCATCAGCGAGTAGTGGTGGTAGTCACAAGTTAGACGACATCAAAATCTCTCCTCCCTATACAGTGAGTTGCCTTCGATCAACTGGCGAGACTTTTCAGCGTGCCTGGATCGATCGATCAGTGAGCCGAGGCTGTGGATCATAGGTAGTGCTCTGTAAACACGGAGGAGCTGAGCGTTTCAGTGGGACAAAGCGTGGCCGAGGAGAGCAACTCACCTGTGTTGCCGCCGCCAGCTCCTCCGCCGCCACCCCCGAGCTTGCCGTGCTTCATCTTGGCTAGCTCCACCTGCGTTTGCATGAAGAGCTGCATCCTCTGGAGCTCCAGATCCTTGGTAAACTCCATGCGCTGCCGCTCCAGATCCATGAGCTGCTGCTGCTTGGCGCTCTCGATCCGCTCGTAAACCTCCCCAAACTTGATAATGGCCCTCGCCAGATCCTTGAAGCTCCCCTCCACCTTCCGCCTCTTGGACGACGAAGCTCTTCCCTCGTTGGCAGCCGTGGCGTTTCCATTGTTCTCGCAGCTATCGGTCATCCCGGCACTAAACTCTCGGCTGGAGGAATCGTTGCTCGTCGCTTGCGCTTGCTGGGCTTGCTGCTGGCGATGGTTCCTCGACTGATCTCTGCTAACTGGAGTAGCAGTGAGAGCGGCGCCGGCGCCGGCGGCCGGGGCAATGCCGTTGTTTGATGGCGGAGGAGTCGACCTCTTCTTCCCTTTCTTCGATGGACCAATGAGTTCGTCCAGCTTCACGAAAAATGGCCACTTACTGGGGCTCCCCTCGCTCGCCAGCCTCGCCTTCTCGATCTTATACTTCTTCTTGAGCGTATCTAGGCGATTCTTACACTGGACATCGCTCTTGCCACTTCTCCCGCTGGAGCTCTCGTCCAAGCACGACCTCTTGGTCACCTCGTCAGCCACCTCTCGCCAATGCTTCTGCTTGAGATTCCCCCTGTTGAGATGGAGATACCTCTCCCCCCAAGCGTCAATGAGCGCCAGCGTGGCCCCCTCCGTCCACGCGTCGTCACGGCCGTGGCCTGGAGTGCCGCCGTCAGCCCTACCCTTGCTTGCCGGTGGAAGAACCCTAGCCGCCAGTTCTTGTGAATGCTGCTGGGGATGCTGGAGAGGACTCTTGTGCTGCTGGTGATTCTGGTGATGGAGCGACAGTGATAATCCGCGGCCATTGCCGTGCGGCGCCGGGAATCGATCGAGCGGGGAAGAATGGGGAAGATTATGCTGCCCTACCTCTCGATTCGTGGCCGCTGCGATCGCTGGAGGAGGTGCTGGGGCGTGGATTTGCTGCTGCTGTGTGTGAATCTGGTGATGGCCATGGAGCATGACATGATTTTGCTGGTGGGGCTGGTGATGGGGCTGGCGGTGCTGCTGCTGCTTGCCCTGGACTGCGTAGGGCTCCTCGGCCATCGCCACTGCCTCTCTTCTATCCTAGGTCGAGAAATGCTTCAGGCGGCCGGAAGGCAGATCTGGCCACTCACAGTATGACGCGTGGCAGCCACGGCTTTTTTCCGGCAGCTTGCGCGGTTTCGATTCTCGGCCACTGGAACGCACGGAATACGTACGGACGGAAATTAGGGCTTGGCGATGGTGGATAGTGCTTCTCGACCAGGCGGAGGGATTCGCCTCTATGATCGCGCCCAAGAACAGGGACGGCGGCCCACTACCAGCGTCGTGATCGCAGCGCTCCAGGAGTGTGGGAGATCGAAAGACCTGGCAGTGGGGAGGCGAATTCACGCGGGCATTGCTCAGATCGGCCTCGACGCCACGGATGTTTACATCGCCAACACGCTCATCGCAATGTACTCCAAATGCGGGAGTTTGGTCGATGCGCGCGCGGTCTTCGATCGATTGGATCACCGCCGCACGGCTGTCTCATGGAACACGATGATCCTGGGCTATGTCGACGCCAATCTCGGCGACATAGCGCTGGATCTCTTCGATCGCATGGATTGCGCGCCGGGGATTGTGTCCTACCTCGCGGCTGCCAGGGCGTGCGCCAGTGCCGCCGCCAGGGAGGAACCCCAAGAAATCGATGGAAATATCGTCAGAGCTCATTCCCTACGGAGCGGCAGAGAGATCCATCGCCGGGCCTGGCGAGAGGGCCACCGATCCAGCAGATTCCTTGCGAATTCACTGCTCACGATGTATGCCAAATGCGGGAGCTTGATCGATGCTCGAGCGGTGTTTGACGAGATTGCAAGCTCGGGAGAGATTGTGGCGTGGAATGCGATGATCTTCGGCTATGGCGAGGCCGGCCATGGCGCTGAGGCGCTGCGATTGTTCTCCACGATGCAGCAGGAGGGATTCGTCCCGGACAAGGTCACGTTCCTGGCTGCGATCAAAGCTTGCTCTCCCTCGCTTCGATCAGGGCCAAAGCTCCAGTGGTTCTTGCTACAAGGGCGCGCGATCCATTCCATGATCGCCAAGCTTGGCTATGGCCGCGATGTGGTCATCTCGAATGCCCTGATTTCTATGTACTCGCGCTGTGGCAGCGTTGCCGATGCCCGCCGAGTCTTCGATCAAATCGATTCTCCCAGTCTCGTGTCTTGGAATTCGATCATTGCGGCCTATGCCGATGCCAGCGATGGAGCCATGGCGCTGGAATTTCTCTTGAGGATGGAGGAGAGTGGCTGCGATCCTGACAGTGTCACATTCCTCGCAGCTCTCAAGGCTTGCTCGACCCCGATCGAAGAACAAGGAAGAGATCTTCTCGAGAAGGGGCGAGCTCTTCACACGGCGCTTGCGAGCCGGGGATTCCATCGCGATCCCTTCGTTGCCAATGCGCTGGTAACGATGTACTCACGGCGCGGCAGCCTGGGCGACGCTCGATCGGTGTTTGAGACGATCGAGAAGCCCTCGATCGTTTCCTGGAACGCGATCATCCAGGGTTACGTGGAGAGTGGCGACGCAGCGGTGGCGCTGGATCTGTTCTCTCAGATGCCACATTCGATCGATCCGGACGCTGTGACCTTCCTGGCTGCAATCAAGGCGTGTTCTTCCCTGGCCGCGCAAGAACAAGGGCAAAATCTCGGCGGCACGCCAGTGAAGATCCAGAGCCTGGCCAGGGGGAGAGAGATCCATCGACGGGCCACCGCAAAGAATCTAGAACGCGAGATCGCAGTGGCGAATTCCTTCATTGCGATGTACGCGAGATGTGGATCCATGGCCGATGCTCGCAGTGTGTTCGATCGAATGGAGCCGCGATCGCGCACCGCTGTCTCGTGGACAGCGCTCATGGCAGGATACAATGATGCCGGCGAGCCCGATCGAGCGCTGGAGTGCTTCGAGCGCATGATCCAGGAGGATCGGTGCAATCCGGATGGAGTGGCGCTCGCGGCAGTGATCAAGGCGTGTGGGAGCTTGGGCGCGCTAGAGATCGGCCGGAAGATCCACTCACAGTATTCCTCCATGGTATCCACCAAGAGCCCTAACAACGAACTCTCGATACTGGCCAATTCCATTGTGGATTTCTATGGCAAGTGCGGGAGCATGGACGAGGCACGCGCGGCGTTTGATTCCATCGAGAGCGCGCGCAGGGACGTCGTGACCTGGAACTCGCTCATCGCGGGCTACAGCCGCGCCGGCGATTTCCAGCAAGCTTTCGATCTCCTGGAGAGGATGATGCAAGGGGAGGAGCGATTGCGGCCCAATGGCGTGACGATTCTCAGCATCCTCAGCGTGTGTGCTCGCGCCGGGCTGGTGGATCGAGGGCGAGAGGTGTTCTCCCGCGCCGCCAGCTCTGGCTATGGCAGCGGCGTGGCGCTGCGGCTGGAGCATTACACCGTGATGGTGGATCTACTAGGGCGGAGCAATCAGCTGGAAGAGGCGGTGGAATTGATCCGGGGCATGCCGTGGGAGGCCAATGCCAAGATCTGGATGACGCTGCTGGATGCGTGCGCGAAGTGGAGGAATCCGGGGATCGCAAAGCTCGCCTTCGACTCCGTCATAGGGATCGATCGAAACAACGCTGCCGCTCACGTTCTCATCGCTAGCATCTGCGAGTCTGTGTAATAAAAATGGTTTTCCACAAAAATATGAATTCTTGTTTTAACTTGAATGATAGATGGCATGAATACTATTTAGAATTATCTTTGCCATGTTGTTTGCATTTTTCTAGTCCTCACACTCCTTTTCACACTTCCTTGAGTTAGTCGTCCTGATGTTTGCTACTTTTAAATAGTGTATTTTTACATGCCAGCCTCCATAAACATTTGTCTTTGTTGAGATGTGTTCGTTTGAGATGCAAATTGTTACTATGGTTTTCATTTTGATCTCATTGTTTCGGTGAGAGTATATCTCTACATCTTTGAGCCATAGAGTGCTACTATGTTGATTTTTTACAGGTGCCATACACTTTGTAGCTGTCTGATTGTGTATAGTCTCATCTTCATGTTTGAGCCTTCTGTTCTCTTTTGCCACATTAAAATTTGAATGGGAAAGAAGACAAGAAAACGTGGTAGGACTAGAAACGGCAACGTGGCTAGGGGTCAAGCTCATACTGTAATCTCCTGAGTTTAGACTTTTCAGGAGGTCACCCAACCCAATACTATTCAAACCCAAGGACACGTAACCCCAAATATCCCAAGACCCTTAACCGATTGGAAAAGAAGGTGCATTCTTATTCATGAGCCCTTTCTTTCTATATTTGAATCCCTATGGATCATCTCTCGAGTTGTTCCCTTTGGTTACTTACACATACGTGTACTGGCCCAAAGTATTGGCAAGCAAAAATTTCTAAGTGTAGGGAATTTCATCTCGCATGTGAACATGAATTTCATAAAATCATTCATAAATATCAATTTCATCATAAACTTAGTTTTGTATTACCTAAAAACACAGTGATATTTTGTTTTGTTTCTTTTTATTTGATATCCAAAAATTTATTTTGCCTCATTTCTTATCAATTTCTAAATAGATACAGATGATTTCAAGAGTTTAATCAACATTTTCAACTATGATCATAAATATTTTTCTCTAAAATTCTCATATCCAAAGCCACAACTTTTAACCTTTTTAAATTATTATGTGAAGGTTTTACCGAAAATCTCTAGAACATCACAAGAGGGAAATCAAACACTTAATTTTGCTAGAGTTGGTTTGAGACAAGGGATAAGCCACAAGCTATAAGCCAAGCCAAAGAATAAACTTTTTATATATTTAAAGAATTTTGCTTCTTGTAAAGTGGGGTTATGGCTAATACATATGAACTCTTAGCCACATTATCCTTTCTTGCATTGCCACATTTCTTTATGTCTTTTGCCACACAGGCTTTGACATGGTAAAAAAGAATGAAATTTAATGGGAGGTTATATTTAAATTCCTTCCAATACCTTTGTTTAGCGAATTATATATCTTATCACCAATTGTGCTCCCCTTATACCAAAACTTATGTAGTGCATATTATCTCTCTCCCCTTAAGCCACCTGAAAAATGAGAAATTGTTTGATGAGAGAGCTTTTAATGGCTATTTTATCCTTATTTATCCCCCAAAGTTTCAAGGATCCATAGTGATAGTATATCCAAATCTCATCCCATAATCACATGCATTACAACTTGTTTTTCTAATCTAGGCCAAAGACCAAAATTTTCAGGTTGATTTAAAGACTTGAGTTGTCTTGTGTTTCATGCTCAAAACACTTTAAACAATCAATATAATGGGTCCAAGATTTAATTGGGCTCTTGCTTTACTTAACAAAAATCTAGCTATGGTGTCCTTAAAAATTTTGGTTGATGCTTTTGCATATGTTAGATCCTTGATAGAAAAAAGAAAAGATAAGTTTTGTGGGGAATGCTTATTATTACTAGAAAGTTTTCTTTTAAGTTCTTATAAAAGAATTCACAACATGGCATATCATTGGAGAGAAAAACTTTCTTTCTTAGTATATTCTTCATTTAGATTTAAATATAGAGTGTAAGATCAATTGTGCATAGAGGCTCAATTTGGAACTAGTTCATACTCAAAAGTATCATATAGATCTTCCATTTGCAATAAAATTTTGTAAGCTCCCACTTTATATTCAAATATGTAATTTCATTTTTATATATATTCTATAAAGTCTATACCAATGAAATGAATCCTCTTGCTAAAAAAGCCTTTGCCCAAAAATAAAATAGCAAGAGCAAACAAATGCAAAAATGATTCCGAAGTGAAATATTACTTAAGCTCCCGTTTTTTAGACTTGTTTTTAGGAAGTTTTGTATGGTTGTTTTTCTTGATTCCTTTAAGTTTATACAAGTTCCAAACATCAATATATTCCTTAAACCTTGTAAAAAATTCTGGAATGAAAACTTTTAAAAAGTTGTGCAAGTTCAATGTGTTGCATAGATAAAATATGTTTTCCATTTCAAGCTTCTGAAGAAGTTACTTGTAAAACCACTTATATACCAAAAAACAAAGATAAAGTAAAAAAAAAAGCTAATAAAAATAACAATGGACTTTATCTTGTTCTTAATTCCTATGAAAGAGTGTTCATTTCCCGAAATATTGTCTATATCCTTTCAGCTAATAGAGATTTTTGTTGGCTTTGGATTGGAGAAGTGAATTTTCAATTTGGGGAGTATCAAGCATAGCATTCTAAATTGTTTTATAAACTTCTATCAATCTAAAAATAATGTAAGTTGTAGAAATCTAAAGAATCTATAAATGAAATATAAAACTTGTGTATGTATAGGATTGTATTAATAGCTTGCCATTTTATAATATGTAGGAACGATAGCTTCTAATCATACATTCTAGTTGCCAACCTTAATCCCTACTCATCTAAGCAAATTATAAGCATTCTTCACTCCCTACTTTGCTCCCCCTACTTCCAAAGGCATGAGCTCTTATAAGTTAGTTGTTATTTCCTACTTATCCTTCATGACAAGCACTCTATGTAATCTATAGCTTTGCAACACATTGTGATGTGTAGTCCCAAGAGCCTTAATGATCTATTTTATGCTCTGATTTTGTAGTAAATAGTGTCTCACAAAGTCAAGTAGCTTCTTTTTAGTTTCCAACCCATTCAAAGAAGTAAAATATAAAATATCAATAAAGTTAACTTTGCTATTTTGACAACCCCAAATGGTTATTAAACTGTTACTACAATCCTTTGACCCTAAGCTACTGCCATGGAGCTATATGAACTACCTTTTATGTTAGACATACCAAGATATAAATGTTAGCAAGTGCACTTGCAGCCCTGCACAATAGCCCCATTGTGGAAAACCTAATTCTGGAGGCTAGAGGAAGGTACTGGCATTAGCGTTAGTGCAAATGCTAGCATTAGCAATGCTCCTTGCTACCTGTCGTGGTTGTGAAAAATCCATAGAGGGCACATAATGAAAGAGGAGGCAACGAACAACAAAACTTTAGTTTAGAGGGGAAGGTGGATGGTGTTGTCTATGGAAAAAAAAATTATTAGAAGAATAGGCAATAATGCTTATAGTGACTTTTAGTCCTTTTTCACCATCACTCTACAATTTTCATAGTCTCTTTTTCCTCCATTTTCTAAAGAGATGGAGGTAGCACTAAGCCTTATTTAATAGAATAATGGCTAGCATCTTAAAAAACACCACTCATGCTTTCTAGAATACCAAACTAAGATACCACCATGTGTCATCAAAAGGATTTAGTGTAGAATAAGTCCAAAAAGGTAGTAAATAAAGTAAGAATAATAGGTTGATTTTGAAATTTCCCCTCATAAGATAGCTCTAAAATTTGAATTGCTCACCTTTAAACTAATTATCACCTCAAAACTACTCAACTTTTTTCTATTTATCTGCAATTACCAACATTATGTTAATAAGCTGTCCAAGCTTGTTACTACCAGTAAAATGGCAATTTAGTATAAGCTTGGATGAAACACATGGTGATATTATAGGTATATGTTCTCATAACATATACAACCTATGACTATTATCAGATATAATATTTTTTGACAGACAATCTGACTACCTTAACCATGGGGCACCGTATTAAAGAGATTTTTTATCATCCATTTGTGAATTTCTTGGACACCTAGTTCTAGAAATAAACTCCCAGTCACCTAATCCAAAATCCACCACTATTACTACATTTGATAGAGATGGAGACGCAAAGGAGGAGAAAGAAATAACAACACTTTGAATTCTCATAATCAAGCACTATAGTGAGATCAATTATAAGTGCACTGAGTAGCAATAATGCTTTCCCATATAACCACCTCACTCCCAAACCACTCCTGTGTAGCTTGAGCAACTTTTTGGGTGGGTGGAGTGCATCCTCTTTGCCTTTGTCTTTATTATTTTATATAAATATTCTAATTATCCTACTAAAGGTGTATTCCCACAAAAAGTATGAGTGAATGGTTTCCAATATAAAAATTACTTTTGTCATTTCCATTATTGAAAAAAATATTTATATTAAAATATAGAAAATGACAAATTCTATAGTACTTTAAAAGACCTCAAAATTACATCTACCAATAGATATAGTAATGAATTCTCTATTTATTATATTATGTTGTCTTCCAATATATGTTATAGCTAAACCAAAGTTTGGAAGATTTGGAATTCTAAATCCTCAAGATATAGCTAAAATAGCTACAATATTTAGAAAATTAATATCAAAATTAAATGAAGAAGATCAATATTCTGCTGAATTTTCAGATGGTGAGCTAATTAATACTTCTGTAGGAATAATAGATTTAAGAATCAAAGTAATATATGAATGTTCAAATGAAGAAACTTTTAGAGGTAGTAGTTTAGTAGCTGGTTTTCAAAGACTTTTCTATCCAAATATTAATGAATTACAACTTAATTGTCCTGCATCATTTGAAAATGAAAATACAGGATATTTTATACAATATAACTTAATTCAAGAATGGGTTTTTCCTAATAATTTACCAAAAATTTATAATAAAAGGCTCACTTCGGTATGTTACCTTAAACAACATACATTATATAATCCACAAAAACTTTATCAAGATGAGTATTTAATTTCTCCTAATGGAAAAGTTATGTTAATGGTTACATCAAATTGTCAAATTTTT